CACACCACACCATCCACCACACCTCAAGAGCCTAAATTCACACAAATCCCTATTGTTGGCAGCAAGGAAGGAAGGAGGAGCCACCTGGAGTGTTTCTAGGTGTATTCAATCTTTGTTTTCAATGTTTAATTTATATTCTCTTTGTTTTGTTGTAAACATGAGGAACTAATTTTGTTTTGGCTAGGGGAGACTTTGAAACCATGATTATATTTGCAATATGAATTGATTAATTCCAGTTGTGATTTCATAAATTGTGAATGCAATTTACTTAACCGTTTGATGGATAACTTATTCTTGTTTGTTGATTAAGGGTGCACACTTAGTTTGCATGCATGAATTTGGGGCTAGAATATAAGGGAGTTTCACATAATCGTTACAAACTTATATTCACAAGTAGTTAAGGTTTTTTTCACAATCATGTTACGTAAATTCCTAGCATGAGTATCATGATGTCATAGTTACAAGAGCTTTGTCAATACTTATGATTTTCATAGAACGTAATGATCTTTGATTGTATCCCTATTATGATGTCATGTAGGGGACTTTTGAAGAATGCTTTGGGTTGTCGTATAATGTCATCCAATCCAATAACTTAAGGAAAATCTGAGGGTTAATTAGTGATGTCACGGTTAATCTGGGGTGTTGAGGTTCATGGTTTATCGAAAAGCAACTGGAAATCAATTTGTATGCAAGTGTGTCATGTGTGGAAAAGGACCCTCTAGCTAGCTAATCACCCATCCATATCCCCAAATTCGTCCAAACCTTGTTTAAGTCTTTTAGTTACTTGTTTTTATCTTAAATTCGTCAAAAACCCAATCCCCTTTATTTAGTTGTGTCAAATTTGTCCTAAAGTGTGTTTTTGAGTCTTTTGAGTCAAAACCAATTCTATTTTCGTCCAAATTGAGTCCTAGAGTCTAGTTTGAGTCTTTTTGATTGTTTTGTGTTGTTTTGAGTCTCTTAAGTTTGTTTTGAGTCATATAAGTTTAGTTAAGAGTCTTTTGAGTTTGTGTAAGTGTTTTGAAGCATATTTTTATATCTTTGAGTCAATTTCATTAGATTAGCAATCCCTCCTAATCCCCGCCTAGAACGATCCCTACTTATATCTATACTACAATTGTCAAAAAGAGAGTTTAATTTGTGTGCTATTATATATCACATCAGGAACACAGCCTACTAACTTTTCCTCTGGTCCCCTAAGAGATTTTCTCCATACTCCTCAACACTTGAGCCATGATGGCTGGTAAATCTTTATTAGTGACTTTTCCACCTGACTTCTCTGAAGAGGTCGAGCTTTCTAGGATTGTGGGGCTGGGTAATGAAGGAAAATCCTCTAGGTGATTTGTCATGCCTGTTTCTGTTAGACAAAGAGGTTGTCGAAATTCCACTGTCCACCTGAATGTTTGATCATTCCTTCGTCTTCCCATACAATATCACAAAATGGATCCTGCCAGGCATGCCAAAACTATGTTCGGGTTAGATCTGTCCCTCACACAGCTCCCCGAGGTTTTGCCTATTGGGCAAGGTTTGTTGCTTGGTGTGCTGCAATATAAGTTTGCTATTAGTTTGAATGGTGCCTTTGTGGGGCCTTTTGTTAGGCATTGAGGCTCACAATCAAAACTAATATAGATCTGAGCGTGCCACCGTTTTCTTTGTATAATGGATTGTTCTTTTTAGTTTTTTAACTGGGTTGATCACTTACGCCACAAGTTACTTAGACTTCTTGATCTTACTGGATTGTTACAGATAGGTTAAGTATGTATAAGGTTCTTTTTCTTGCCTTGTTAACAAGGAGCTTTACTTATGATATTATATGTCCAGGCAAAGGGAGTTCATGGCCCTTTCAACTATTTCTTTGATTACAGTTAACATTAAAGAAGCAAGGTTAATTAGTTTAGCCCAATTAATCATCAAATTAAAACTTTGAACGAAAAGCCAGTTGAAAATGATGAAGGAAGATGCATTAAACAACAGATCTACTTTACGTAAGTACAAATAAAAAAGACTAGGGCAAGAGTATAACCTCATCAGGCAAGGTTCATCTTTTTGCAGCCACTTCTCGTTGCGTTTTACAACGGTTGTAATCTTTGGAGAATGAAAGGTAAAACAGGTTTTACTAAAAGGATTTGATACTACAACGCTGGGGAAAAGTAGCAGAGCTTCTAAATCTTGATAAAAATTGGTTTTCTATGGTGAATCTATGACGAAAAAAACAGAGTCTGGACAAACTAAAGCTTTCTGGTTTCTTGCTTATCTAAGAGCAAAGTGGGATGTCTTTTGATTGATTGGTTAAGTGTCCTTGTCTTTGGGATCCCTTGCTGCTTTTATAGACATTTTAGTCCGACTGTTCAAGCTTTGCCTTTTGGTGATATCCCCCGAAACGTGGTAAGTCACCACTTATTTACCCATCCATACCCTCGAAAAGTACTTTTTGCTGGGGTGAGATACCCTTCTGAGTGTCACTTCTCTCATATGCCTATTGCCTATTCCTTGGCAAAAATGATTTTTAATTCTTCTTGAGTTGTTGCCTTGTATGTTCCAGCCCAATCGTCCATTTGCTTTTTTTGTTTTTAAGCCTCCACTCTCACTAAGCCCAACATTAAATATTCACTCAAACATTTTGTATAACAAATAAATGTATGAAACAGAGTAGCAAGTTCCAAATTTTCAAATTGTTTTCTAGAATATTCAAATACATTCTAATTCCTATTTAACATTTATTGAATTTCCAAATTAAATTGGATAGACATTTGAAAATTTTCTCCCGAAATCAATTGAAATTGGATTTTCTTATCTAAGTTGGACTCTATGGGGCCATTTAGTATTACGGTCTATATTAATTTTTATTTACAAGTTAGAGGTCTTAGATTCGGTTTTTGGCAAAAACAAATTCGAACCAAATTATTATAACTAGCTCATTGTGGAAGTTTAGTCCACTCCCTCACTCTATAATATAGATAATTTTCTATGTATTGAAAAGTTGGACCATAGACAGTAGTACCAAAGTTAGCCATCCTGCTTAGACTTGGTGATCATGTCTTGTTTTCCGTGTTTGTGTCTTAGTTTCGTGACATTTTGATATCTTAACGAATCGTGTCATGTCAAATCCGTTAAAATGAACGGGTTATATGACCCGACCTAAACTCGACTCTTTAAACTGACGGGTAATATAACCCAATCCATTACCAATTAAAGAAAATATATTTTACTTCAATAACTAATCAAATGAAGAACGTCATACTAAATTATTATCTACATACCATATTGTCACATAAATTTTTACTTCAAAACAAAAAAATACATTTGTCTTTCAATTATTATATATATACCTCAAAATAAAAGTCTAATAAAAAAAACATTAGTACACAAAATATTAAATGTACAAGGATATGCAAATTAAAAAATGAACATAGTTTTTGTCACATCTCGACCCGGGCCCCCACCACATCCCAGGCTCGGCTCCACCGTAACACGATATTGTCCGTTTTGGGTCCCAACCATGCCCTCACGGTTTTCTTTCTGGGAACTCACACGAGAACTTTCCAGTGGGTCACCTATCATGGGAATGCTCTCACGCGCTACTCACTTAACTTTGAAGTTCCGATGGAACCCGAAGCCAGTGAGCTTCCAAAAAACCTTGTGCTAAGTAGAGATGGGAATATAAATATAAGGATCACATCCCTGGGCAATGTGGGATATTACAATCCACCTCCCTTAGGGGCCCGACGTCCTTGTCGGCACACCACAGTCAAGGTTAGGCTCTGATACCAAATTGTCACATCCCAGCCCGGGCCCCCACCACATCTCGAGCTCGACTCCACCGTAGCACGATATTGTCCGCCTTGGGCTTGACCACACCCTCACGGTTTTGTTTTTGGGAACTAATACGAGAACTTCCCAATGGGTCACCCATCATGGGAATGCTCTCGCGCGTTACTCGCTTAACTTCGGAGTTTCGATGGAACCCAAAGCCAGTGAGCTCCCAAAAGGCCTCGTGCTAGGTAGAGATGGGAATATACATATAAGGATCACATCCCTGGGCGATGTGGGATGTTAAAGTTTCAAGGTTGTGGAGCTTTCTTGAAAGTCAAAATGTTGTCAATGAGACTGAAAACTTGCACGCTGTTTTTTAACAGTAAAACCTTTCAATTTTCATCAATCACCAAAGAAATTAGTACTAGTCTTCAAGAGTTAGATTGATGATGTTTTCAGTAAGACTTTCCACATTAGCACCCTCTTCTACATAAACTAAGCATAGAAAAACAAACGGTAAGTTAGATTAAATCCTATTTCTATTATAGTAAATTTGTTTTTTTTTTTTTTTTTTTTTTTTTTTTTTTTTTTGTAGTTAAAATCACCAAACTAATGAGTTAAAATAGGTTACCTGCATACAAACTTGTATTAATGGATGACCCGATAAAAACACAGTTAGTTAATGTATTAATCTAAAATTTGCTATTTTTGTGTTAGTCGGTTGTGTTAACAGGTCGTGTGAGAAATTTTCAAGTCTAAATCTAATCCTGGTCATCCCACCCGATTCTTCTAGAATGGGGATCCTCTCTGGATCCTCTTTGTGAGGATAGCGTGTCCATTCATCATACATCGTACAGTCAAAAATCATTTTAAAAATTTTATTTAAAATTGAATACAAATAGTATCTGACAAAAACTGATTGCACGATTTACAATAAACAGATACGATTGAATGACTGAATCCTCAGGATGTGAAAAGGATCCTCGTTCTTTCTTCTGTCCAAACAAATTGATGTGGCAAACTAAATGGATAATCGGATAAAACCCCGTGGACGCTCAAGTCCTTTCGCCAAGAGGCAACCAACCATTGGATGTAACCAAGTGGATCCCACACTCAACTTTCCTTAATTCCCACTCAACACTGAAAAAGCAGCGGCAAAGGAGAGAAGAGGCTGAGGGAGTCTGTTACAGGACAGTTAGTCCACTCCACCGCCGCTAACTGAAAAACATTTAATAACATAAGAAGCTTCTAGATCCTACTCCTCCATGGCTGACGCCGCGAAATCCACGGGCACGGTCAAGTGGTTCAGCGCGCATAAGGGGTTCGGCTTCATAGCTCCCGACGACGGCGGTGAGGATCTCTTCGTCCACCAGACCTCGATCCAATCCGACGGCTTCCGGACCCTCTCGGAGGGCCAGACCGTCGAGTTCCTTGTAGATTTCAGTGAGGACGGACGCACCAAAGCCATCGACGTGGTTGGAAATATCACTCGATCCCGCCGCCCCGGCTTTGACCGCGGCCGCGGTCGTGGTGGATATGGAGGGAGAGGCGGCGGAGGCGGTTATGGAAGGTTTGGTGGAGACCCTGGAGGGTATAATGTAGCGAGAGGCGGCGGAAGGCGTGGCGGCTACGGCGGAGGTCGTGGGGGCGGCGGCGGTGAGTGCTACAACTGCGGTGGTATTGGACATTTGGCAAGGGACTGTACTCAGAGTGGTGGTGTGACTGGCGTCCCGAAATTTGGCGGCGGTGGACGCGGTGGTCGGGGATATGGTGGTAGAGGCGGCGGCAGGCGTGGTGGTGAATGTTATAATTGTGGAGAGGAAGGGCATTTGGCAAGGGAATGTCCCAATGATCAGAAATGATGATTTGGTGTGCGAATTCCTGTGGTTTCCCGCGCTTTTGTGTGGTTGGAGATTGCTTTTTTCACGAATCGTTGCTTCTTCTTGGGTAATTTTGTTAAGTTTTGCATGACTTGGGTGATTGTTCTGCATATATTAGATTAGATGGTAGTTTGTTTCTCCTTCTCCCATTCATTATTTTGGGTTCCTCAATTTTTATATGTATTCTTGTTGTTCAAATATGGAACCTGTGAAGGCTGAAATTAATGATCATGTTTTGGTGTCATTTACCACTTGCATTCGTTTAGTGTTTGAATTAGTTTTCGTTTTTCGTTCTTTGATTAGTGTTGAACTGGATTTTTGTTGGACCTTATAGATTATACTTAGAGTAATGTTATTTAGACACAAAACTGGCTACACACTCTTTAGGCAAGTCGCATATACAATGGTACGAGTCACATTAGAGAGTGTGTCAGCAATGTTATCAGTTTTGGATGTCTATAGGATTTGATGCATTTGAGTATTCGTAGTTTGACACCACGTACCGATTTTATCTATGTTCCGCTAGGATATCTCTAAATTAAGTCTTAACAACAAAAAATGGCCCTCCTTTTGAAAGGGACGTTTAACTGTTATCACGGCCTTCTCATTTTTCTGGCTAGTAGTTGCGGATATAATATCTCATCCTTGAATTGTTGTGGATGTTGTGGTCGCTGCTCAAATTTTGTCGTTGGAAGACGATTTTATGGTTTAGCTGTTCTATTGAGTTATCATCTATTGAATGGTAGCGGAAGGGCAGACCAACAACATGCTTATTAATTCATTTCATCCGCTTCCCTTGGAAAGAATAAGAACCACTTATCCTAGTTGATAATCCATGAGAGGTTAATATTTGACAAGTCGAGATTAGATTTTTCCCTTTTCGGCATGATCAACATCACTTTAAGTGATTGCCTCAAGTGTCCTTGTTCATCTCAAAATCTTAATATTTCATGACATGTCATTTTCATTCGCATTGAACATTCACTGTCCCTTTTTTTTTCAACGGACACAGAGATGTAACCACAATTCCATGTGTGTATATCTGTCAGAGTAGGGTGTGTAAGTGAAAGGCTATTTTCTGCGATAACTTGGTATTCGTAGGTTCAAGTCGAATGTTCAAGCTGCATGGTAGGTACATAGTTATGATGATCTGATCACGATAACAAACTTCAAGAACATTTTCGATCATCGGTCAAAGAGCTTGTGCTAATGTATGTACTTGCTGATGCCCTTCTAGAGCTACTTATCGCGAAGATGCACCTGCAAGTGTTGTTAATGTGTAAATTGATGAATTGATCAAAGAGGATTACAAGGTTACTTAGTGTTGTGCCTTAGCTTATAGGCTGAGATTGAGTGATCAAATTGTAATGTGCTAGTTGGACAAGTGTCTTAATCTAAATGGTGTATAAATGGATGGTTGAGATTGAATTGAGGATCTCTCTCTCTCTCTCTCTCTCTCTCTCTCTCTCTCTCTCTCTCTCTCTCCCTCCTCCAATGGTTATTTTGTTGGTATGTGAGCTCACATGCTCAATGAGCACATTCTGAGATATATGAAAGAAGTTGCAGAGTAACATTCTCTGAGTTTTTTGTTCGAAATTCCTTGCTTCTTTTCTTCTTCTTCTTATCTGAGTAGTCTGCATTTTTCTTAGTCACTAACATGGCATCAAAGCCAGGTTGGGTCTAAATTTATGGGCGTCAGTGTTTGTTAGGGTTAAGCTCAGATTCACAACAACAAGATTATTGCAGGTGATTCAAGCTCATATCAGTGATCGAGTCTAAACATGGCTGGATCTAGAGGAGGAGAACTTAGAGCAGCCAGTCTTCAATGGCGAGAATTTTGATTTCTAGCAAATCAAAATGAAGACCATTTTCCGTTCACACAAACTGTGGGATCTGGTTGAAAATGGGTACGAAACTCCGATGAAGAGAAGAGGAGCTCACGGAGACAGAGAAGAAGCTGATGCGTGAGAATGTGGTCAAGGATGCTAGAGCACTTGGAATTATCCAAGGTGCCGTTTGAGATCAAATTTTCCCAAGGATCGCAACACAGGAAAGTGCAAAGGCTGCGTGGGACATTTTGAAACAAGAATTTGTTGGTGATAAGCAAGTAAGATCTGTGAAACTTCAAGGTCTTAGGCAAGATTTTGAATATACTCGCATGAATGATAATGATTCTCTCTCTGTGTATATTGCTAAACTGTTTGATCTGATTAGTCAAATGAGAAGTTATAGTGAAGATCTGAATAATCAAAGAATTGTTCAGAAGTTGTTAATCAGTCTACCTAAGTCATATGATAGTATTGCACTTGTGATAGAGAATACTAAGGACTTAGACATCATAGATTCACAGGATGTAGTTGCTATCTTGAAGGGTTATGAACAAAGACTTGATAGACATGGGGAAAGTAGTATGGAGAAGGCATTTGCTAGTTTGAATATTACACCGAAATCAAATAGGTTTAATGGTCAGACAAACAGTAGCAAACACCAGAAGAATTTTAAGCCAAAAGGGAAACAGTGAGGAAACAAGGCTGATTAGGGTAATAAGGCTAGTTTTCCTATGAAGAATGATGCAAATAACAATGGAGATAAGTGTAAATTCTGTGATAGATTACACTATGGGGAATGTTGGGTAAAGAACAAAGTCAAGTGTCACAAGTGTCGAAAATGGTTTGCAAGACTACAAAAATTGTTCAACGTAATTGTTAATAGGGTCTGCAATCTATTTTAGTACCATATGGGGACATGAGAAGATGTGAATGGTACATAGATAGGGTGTAAAGAAGGGCGAAGTACATAAGAGAAGTGTGCTGTATCTGCAGGTTAGACAAATAAAGGTAAATGGTATTTCGTGTTTGGAGAATAAGTGGATGTTTTGATGATAGGTTTCTAGAACATTTTGGTAGGAAATAGAGGGAAATAAGTGTTTCTTGATTCCAATAAACAAGATACTTGAGGTGCAAGGCATGCAAAATGTGGCACAAACATATAGGCACCTAATTCAGTTATTCCAGGTCAATGTAATGGGGTGCTTAAGAGTGCTATGATGCAGGTTGTGACTGGGACCATAGACATTTCCAAGGAGACACATGGATAGACGGACATTGGAGCTGATACATTCTGATGTCTGTGGACCTATGAAGGTTCCAACCACAAGTGGGAACAGATACTTCCTCACATTCATTGATATTCACGATGTGTTGGATCTATTTTATGAGGAATAAATCAGAAGTGTTTGGGATATTCAAAAAGTTTAGAGCAATGGCTGAACTACAATGTGGTTACTCGTTGAAGAAATTGAGAAGTGATAGAGGTGGAGAATTCACTTCCACTGAGTTTAATGCATTTTGTGAATCAATTAAGATGGAAAGACAACTCACTATGCCCTATACTCCACAGCAAAACGGAGTGGCAAAAAGAAAGAATAGAAAAATAGTGGAAATGGCTAAAAGTATGTTGCATGAGAAAGGACTACCTTACAAACTATGGGGAGAGGCAGTCAACACTGCAGTCTACTTATTGAACAAATGTCCTACAAGTGCATTAGACTGTGTCACAGCATTTGAAGCCTATAGTGGAAGAAGACCAAGGATTAAACATCTCAAGGTATTTGGAGTTGTATGCTATTCTCTAATACCTGGAAATTTGAGACATAAACTGGAAGCATCAAGTGTAAAATGAGTCTTTATTGGATATGGAGCATGTGAGAAGGGATATAGAATTCTAAATTTAACCACAATGAAGGTGATTGTGTCTAGAGATGTGGTGTTTAATGAGAATGGGAAGTGAGATTGGGATGAAAACAAAGTGGGGGAAATCTGTGTTCCTCTAGTTCCACCTGAGTTTAAAGAAACAAATGTTAGTGAAGTTAAACAGGATATCATCTCCTATTTCTTGTGAAAGATCAAGTGCTCAGGGTGCAAGTGTACAAATACATTCTGTGGAAACTGAAGCATTTGACTCAACTCCCTTGAAATGGAGAAATCTGAGTGAGATATATGAACATTGTAATCTGTGCATTGTTAAACCTGAAAGCTTTGATAAGGTTGCGCAAGATGAAGCTTGGAAGGTTGCAATGCAAGATGAAATTAATATGATAGAGAAAATCAGACCTGGAACTTGGTGAATAGACCACTTAACAAGCTAGTGATTGGGATAAAAGTGGGTATACAAGACAAAGCTGAATTTAGATGGATCTGTGCAGAAACACAAAGCAAGGTTGGTAGCCAAGGGATATGTACAAAAGCCTGGTGTGGATTACTACGAGACATTTGCACCTATTGCAAGGTTGGATAATATAAGAACATTGGTTGCTCTAGCTGCAAAGAACAATTGGCAACTATTTCAACTAGATGTTAAGTTTGCTTTTTTGAATGGTGTACTCCAAGAAGAGGTGTATGTGGATCAACCAGATGGATTTATTGTAAAAGGAGAAGAAGACAAGGTGTACATGTTGCACAAAGCTTTTTATGGACTGAAACAAGCACCAAGGGCTTGGTACAGTGAAATTGATGCTCATTTTGAAGAGTGTGGTTTCAAGAAGAGTGATAGTGAAGCAACTTTGTATACAAAAGGAAAGAAGGTAAAGGAATACTCATTGTGTCAATTCATGTTGATGATATCATTTATACTAGCAGTAATATTGAAATGATAGAAGAATTCAAGGCTGATATGATGCATAAGTATGAAATGACAGATTTGGGTTTGCTGCACCATTTTCTTGGAATGAGGGTTATGCAAATTGAAAGCAGCATTTTCATTCATCAAAAGAAGTATGCTACTTCGCTACTTAAGAAATTTGGATTACAGGATTGTAAACCTGTTAGTATTCCACTTGTTCCAAGTGATAAACTGAGAAAGGATGATGATAGTGGAGCTGTTGATGTAGCACAGTTCAGAAAATTGTTGGCAGTTTGTTGTATCTTACTGCAACTAGGCCAGATATCATGTATGCTTCTTGCTTATTAGCAAGGTTTATGCACTACTCAACTAATAAGCACTATGGAACTGCAAAAAGGGTGCTGAGGTACATACAAGGAACCTTATACTATGGTTTAGAGTACAAGAAAGGTCAAGGTGCCATGTTATTTGGATTATGTGATAGTGACTGGAGTAGATCCGAAGATGATATGAGAAGCACTTCAGGATATGCATTTACCTTTGGAAGTGAAGTATTTTCTTGGTCCTTAGTCAAGCAACATTGTGTTGCATTATCCACGGCTGAAGCAGAGTACATCAGTGCAG